ATACATTTATATATATATATATATATATACATAAATATATATACACACACACACACACACACACTCTGTGTATGATTTTTACAATCTCTGTGTAACATTTCGTTGGCGATTTACACGACCGTTCTTCACCGATCGTTTCGACACACGATTTCCGGTCTTCCAAGCTGTTTTCCCCGCGTGCTGTTCTGCGATGTTGTGCCCGTTTTCGTGTTTCTAATTTGTACGTTTGTCTCTTGCGAACACATATTTTAATACTTGAATAACAATCTCCCGAACGAAACACTCGTACGATAATATTGTCTGCGACTTACGAGGTTTGATGAAAAAAATAGCAGGACTGTGCTTTTGCAACTAAATATTTCACAAATGAAGATAAAAATTTACAAAAAACAAATTGAAGTACATTTAAAGTACAGTTTCAATTTTCATTAGAAAAAAGACACCCAGTATATTAACTTCACTTGGCTTTGTGTGACTTATTTGCTGCTTGTGGAACTGAAGAATTGGTTAAGAGAACGTTGTTTTCAAACGAATCTAAAGACAAAGGGAAATTCAAAGGCTGATTTAAAAGCCATTTGTAAGAGTTGTCTACAAAGAGTGTTCTCAGAAGTGTAAAATGAGTGTTGATAAAGATGTGTAGCTTCTACAGGGGACAATTTAACTTTACAATTATTGTTTCATTTTTTGTTTTTGTTTTTTTCATCAAACCTCGTATGTGTCTGCTTCTGTCTTAAAGTATTCCCCTGAAAAGAAAAAGTCAAAGCTTCTTACACTTTCTTTTCATTTTTTTATTGTAATTGAAAAAGGTGTATTCAGTGGATTTTTGAATATTGTGTTTCTTGTGCGACGATTTATTTGAGATATCGCAGACACGCGTCTCGAATATCGAGAGAATCAGTTAGTGATGTAACTAAAGGATGAGGATACGAGAATCATATGATATAATGAATCGTTCTGTCGCGTTATATAGAGCTTATACCAAGACCAGCCCATTCTTGCGAAGATCCTCCACTGTACCTGAGAATGCGAACCGGAAGACCCAAAGATAAGAAGATTCCACGCTCCACGCCTATAATGAGCTACGGGAAGAAGAAGCTACGGCCTGAATACTGGTTCAGCATACCGCGCAACAGGTAAATCAAACCTAACCTCTTTCATATCTCTGTTTACTAGATTACGTAACACTGCAACACGTCGACTTTTCTTTAATACACATACGATGGTATAACTTTTTTTTTTTAGACACGTAAACATATATTTTAGTTATTTTATTCAAATAAAATGCACGTAAAAAAGACATCGAATTTCTGAAAATTCGACTGTCGTCATTTTTCTGGATTTAAGTATTTTTAGCTACTTTTTTTTAGATTTTCTTTCGATGTTCTTTAAAATTAACCAAGATAAAATAGGTGAAATATTTCAAAGAGATTTCGAGATAAAAATTCGAAAAGTATATTTACGAAGATTTGAAAATCCACGGATTTTACGTTTCTTTTTTCTTTCGTGAAAAATTCGTTTCCACGTTAATTCACCGCTTCACAGAGGAATTTCTCTAAAGGTCGTTTCCAATCCGTCTTTATTTTTATCTCTGTTTTTAACTGCACCGATCGCAATTTCCGCGGAAGAACGTTCGCAACCGGAAGCAGCGATAAATCAATCGTTCCCGCGCGCGGCAGCGGATATCTTTATTAAAATAATTCATTTTTCGAGGAAGGAGAAACGATGATTCTCGGAGAATCGAGCGTCGTTGTTATTTTTGTAAATTGAAACGCGCCACGTTGCCGTGAAAGAAACGACAGAAATTACGAGCGGGCACGTGAAGCGCAGCAACCGTCGCAAAATAGATCTCTCGAGTCCACCAGTAAACTGTAGCTATTTATATATTCCCCTCGTTCTTTCGTTGGTCAACATGGTGAAACGTCAATGTTTTTTTAATTTCATCTTATCGATTCTATATTATTCCATTGAAAAGATTCTAAATCAAATAGAAACGTTTTCGTATTAAATCTTTTTTGTTTTCAATTTCCTGAGAATGAAGTTTCAGTGGAATTTTTTTTTATCTCCATTGCCGCGTCCGTGCAATTCTATGAAAAATATCTTTTCTTTGTTGACGAACACGTGATAAAGTAATCCTTGTTCAAGGATTCACTTTGTTGATCGAGATTTTAATGCGTGAAGGATTAAAGAAGTTCTTGGAATTATTAGTAATAATCTTGCTGCAAGGTTGTTTGTAAATGTTGTTTTTCATAGCGTTGAAATACATTAGAGAAGTTTGCAGGAATCTAATCTATAGTTATAGTGGGCCAATATTTTACTTGGGGTTGATTAGATAAACCTGTACCTGTTAGATAGTCGCCGTATCTTTTAGACGGGGTTAAGAAACTTGATTTAGAATTTGAATACTTCGAATTTTAATACTTCGAATTTGATTGGTTTAATTTGAATATCTGAATGTTTTGAATTTCATTGGTTCAATTTGATAATTTTTAGAATACATTCATAATTCACAATTTACCATTGCATGGTATCTAAAATCAAAAAGCCCTCTACCGACCTAACCTCCAATTTTCTACATCGCTACCGAAAGAGTTACACTCTTGGCGGGATTTTTTAAACCAGAAAGATATCAGTAAAAAACAAATAGAACGGTGTGTAAGCACCTTTGAGAACAGCAGAACCGATTGCACACCGATACGCGGCGTCGAGCACACCGGTACACGTGAAACCAAGCTCGCGAGCCATCACGTGACACGCTTCTCAACGTATCGTCGTGAACGTACTCCTAGGCGGTTGCAACTTTTCCGTTGCGTGGCCGCGTTCGCGATATTAGTCTGCTTACGCGAAGAAAACGCGACGGAAACCCGTGGTCGCGTGCCTGAATCGCAACCGGTTGGAAAATCATACTTCCTTTCTGTATATACATATACACGTTTATAAATTTATCTATGTTTTTCCGTACTTAAAACGTGTCTGATTCACGCACCGCGTGTTTCTGGCCTGGTGAGCGAGAGCGTGCAGTACGCTAGTGAGATAGTGTTGCACTGCCCGGGGAAATCGAAAGGACGGACTGGTCTCTCTGTTGGCCGTCACGCGGTCGAGGATTAGGTAATACGATGTAAAAGCGTAGTCAACCCACGCGACACTGTGTACTTGCCGCTACGCAAAACATCGTTTAGAACAGTGCCGGCCATTTCAACGTGGTTACCTTACTCTTCAAATTAGGTGACTTCGAATTTCCCGCCTTCATTGAGTTGGTAATTTTGTAAATTGCCAAGGTGTCAATTTTCTCATTTGGTAACTCGATATAGAAATGTAACAATTTGATCTTCACGCTTGAAAACATCGGTTCGGACTATAGTGTCCATTCAAGCGTGTTTGCCTTCCTCCTATAGACACGAGAAATCAGATTTCTCTCTTTCGTTGAATTAGCAATTTTGTACATTGGTAAGGTGTGAATTCCGTAAGTTGGCAACACTGTGTCGTCCATTTGAACGCGTTTGTCCACATACACGCGTTATTCTATAGCCTGAAGACTTGGAATTTCCCACTTTCGTTGAACGAGCAATTTTATAAATTGTCTTCAGGTGTAATTTTCTTATTTTTACGTGGGAGATATTCTTTCGCCAGTCGTTAGAGAATTGTGTTAAAAAAGAAAGACGAAACGAGGCATTGGACAGCATCGGTTTGGAAGTGTAACGTTCTATACTGACCTCTACTCAGATTGCAGATGCTCCGTTATATGCTCGCGTCTGACACTGCAGGATTCTTCTGACAGATGTATTTTTATGATCCGAGAAGAGAAAAATGATAAATACCGCGATGCTCGAATATTCTTATCGAATTCTGATATTTTTCCAATTTTTACCTTAACCTGAAATATCTTTTTTCCTCTCTTTTTTTTAATGGGTTAGGTTAGGTTAGGTATACGATATTAGACAATCTCGTGTATTATACGTGAAATGTTACAATACAGAGCTCGTGTTTTTAAATCGTTTTCACTGTCAATTTTTCGATATTCGTTATCAGTGGTTTGCCGTTTTGATAACGGTATTGTGATAAGATTGTGTTTGCTGCTTAAACTTGCACACTCAGAGTCGAACTCAGTCGTTCGTTTTTCAGTTTCGAATACGCTCCAATAATTTTCATTCTCTTTTTATCATCAACCTGTCATTATCGTTCGAATAACCCTCCATAATTCCCTCGTTTCTCGCCTCATTATGGAATAACAATCGATGCATACCGCGTGAAACATAACAGATGATAATGACGTAATCGACGTGTGACGAATAACATTGAACAGATAAAGAACATTTTTGCACGCGATGCAGTTCATTCTATTTTCTCGTCTGTTTGCAGTCGCGCGTTGTAATTGTCTCTACGAGAACGTCAGTTAGAACTGTGCTGTCTGTTGGAACGCGTTAGTAAGAAGACTTTTCAATTCCCTCTTTTACTGAATTAGTAATTTTGTAAAATTCGTCGTTTCAAATTTCCCTCCTTCACTAAATTAGTAATTTTGTAAATTTCGCCATTTCAAATTTCCCTCCCTTATTAAATTAGTAATTTCGTAAATTTCGCCATTTCAAATTTCCCTCCTTTACTAAATTAATAATTTCGTAAATTTCGTCGTTTAAAATTTCCCGCTTTTACTAACGTAATAATTTTGCAAATTTCGTCATATGGTAACTCAACGCGCAAAAACGTCGACAAAAATAATCACAAATAACACAGTTGTGAGAAACTCGACCCACAAATATAAGTTTCGCAAAAGAAAATTTTCATCAGTCTCACTTAACCTAAAAACAAAATATCACCGACACATTTCAATCGCGAAACCAATACCAAAAAACGTAATCCAATTGAGTTTCTCACGCAATTGCAATAGGTTTGCGTCATCTCAGGTAATAGTAACGAATACGAATAATTCCCGGTTGACTCATTCGTCTAATTCTTCTCCAGTCGACACTCGCGTGATTCTAACGAGCGTCTCCCTTGCTAGATTGCATCATTGTTCTCGATTCTTGCCTGCCTCCGTTTTCGATCCATTCTCGAACAGCGATCGAACCGTTTGGAAACAGTAACATTCGACGAGATCGGTGCAACACTGGTGCTTCTTATAACAGAGATTTTTTCATCGAAAGAATAAATATAAGTGCGTTCGGAATGTGTTAAGTGTGTTGTGAAACGTTAAGGTTGAGAGGAGGTGTGTTACGATCGTGAAGGTGAGAAAAAGGGAGCGGCGCCATCACGTTACGTGAGAGAAGCAGGAAACGTCCTTGCCAGGGTCGTCGACATTCGAACCGACTGTATATCGCTCGGAGAAAGTCGCGATAGAGAGATCAGCAGGCGCTTTACCAGCAGCGGGTATATACGCGTACACAGAGGCCAAGACAGCTGACGTGTGAAAATGAATTGGGCGTTAAGCAACGTAGGCAACGTGGTGAATTTCGTTTACAACCAGCACGTGTCCAATACCGTGCAGAACATCCTGCCGTTTGTGCATCGAAGGTAGTAGATTCACCACTTGAAATTCTTCTCGCGATGCCCCTTCGTTCTTACCTTTCTTCGTTTTTCTTGGGTGAATTTGAACGACGATTTATACACGTATAGTTTCAGGGAAATCGAGGAAACTGAATTTTTCAGGAAAGAAGGAAAACACTTTGTTAATTAATGCAAAATTACCTTTGCACTTTCTTTTTTTTCAACAACTGTGATATTTGTATTTATTTATTTTTTTTTTTTATTTGGCGGATATAAGAATTTTGCCATTGATTAATTTATTAATTTAATTTTAAGTTAATTGACAAAGTGGTGTTTTTCTACTTTGGATATTTTTCGTGTTTTACAAATCTTGTATTATTTGACTATGGCTAATATTGAAAAAAGAATTGTAATTTAACTGGAATATTCTGTCTCCGAGTAATTTATCGAAAAGAGAAGTTATCACATTCTCCTAATTCACCAAGATTCCAATTAATCATTTCCAAATATTAACACTGTTACCGAACAAACAAGACACTCGATGTTTCCCAAACACCGATTCACTCTCCTGAAAACATCGTCGTTTCTGTTGTCCCCGTTATACATACAAGCATAGATTCCCATCGGAAATCTACAAGGCTTGGACATCGATGTGACACAACCGATTATCGTTATCGACGCGGAGAAACGATACGATTGTGTCTTAAGTCATATACTTTGCATTTCGAAATATTTAACCCTTTCGTGAAACCAAAGAGAAAAATGAATCTCAATTTAGTATCCATTGCAGACGCAGCGATCAGTAGGTAATTAAGAGATCTTTGAAAAAATAATTCGGTTACGAAAGGGTTGAACTTTTTCCTTTGAGTGTACTTTTCTATTCGAAAAGTTCCAAATCAAATAAAATTGGAATTATTCAAAATAATCCTCATTGCATGCAATCCACCGATGCTAACGAATTTAGAAACTTAAATAACCCGAAAATTTCGATATTAAAAAATAATTAAAATCGTAAGTTTTTCGCGGTGAAAAATTTGAAACACGGCGACACCGTGATAATAAAAAAAAAGAAAAGAATTCATGTTGAAATTTTTCAAACAGAGTAATGTAAATATTTTTCGCCACCTTCGAAGTAATTTCTATTGCTTGCAAAGGACTTACGCCAACGGGTCTAGAAACTTAACCCTAGAGCGGTATTCGGGTCTTTTTTGACCCACCGCCTTTCTATATTTTTAGTAATTTTTGCTGTTATCAAGTTTACGTTCCTTAATATTATTTTAAACGTTTATTGTCTAGGTTCGTATGCCGCGTTGGAAACGAAAATTGTTTCACATAAGGTCTTAGGTCCTTTTTCACCCAAAAGTCTTAAGTGTACAGTCAAAACGAAGAACGCAGTAAGGGTTAAAGAACCCGAAAATTTCAGTAATAAGAAAATGTTCAAAATTGCAAATTTTTGTTTCAAAACACTGTGCAACATCGTAGAACTGTTCGATCAGACTATATTACAAACGTCGAGGAAAGACGACGTCGGTTAGGAGTAGAAAATGAACGACTTGACCGCGTCAATTAATGCACACGCGCATTCTTATTTGTTGCACACAGGGTAGACGACCTCTACAGGTTTATCCATGCGTGGGTGCCGTCTCTTTATGGAGAGCTCGACGAGAATTATTGGCGGGAACGTGGCTACATCCTGTCGGACACCGACACTGACCTGTCGCCTGAATTGTCGCCTCACGAGCCTGGAAAAGCCGGCGAGACCACTGAGGAGGGGAAGCCCCGCAGCCAAGATGGTGACGATATCTCAGAGCTGACTAGAGAATCATGGGAGGTGAGTCAGTTTCATTCTCTCCTCCTTATTTCGCCCAGCTGATCATTATTTATTTCCTCCCGTGGAATCGTGTCATGCGTAGCCACGCTCAACTCGTAAATTTCTCCTAAGAAACTCTTGGGAGATAATATTTTTATCGCGTTGGAATCTCAATGGTGTTGGGTCTCTTGGAATCGCTACGATTTTTCTTCTGTCATATTAAATTATCATTTTTGAGTATGTTCTGTGAAATACTATAGTCGAGAGTAGTGAATATAGTATACTATATTGCTCAGTTTTTTATTTAAATTTTCCCTTTACATTCTGATAATGCACGCTGAATTGTAACATTTTTTACATTAAATTAAGTCGTTTATCCTAGATCTGCGTCATGCAGAATACATTAATAGACTTGACTTTAATCTCAGTTTGTCAGAAATCTTCTGTATCGACACTTTCTGCGTTTTACCAGTAACGACCTTGAACGTCGAATCTTCGGTCCAGCCTATATCTGTTCAAACTTCAGCTCAAAGAATAGCGCATAATGTAAATCGTTCAGCGTGGTTACGTTAAATCAGATCGAATCGACTCATACAGACACACGATTGATTTACTCTCACTGGTCATCTCGATCGATATCTTCGTAATAAGTTATTATTTCTTTGGTTAATCGCACACCTCGAGTGTGAGTTCAGTTGTGCACCTGGGTCGACGTACTCAGTTTTATCGTTTGCCAACGAGCATAGTCACGGTTTATTTTCGACGAACGCACTCTCTTCGTGCACATCTCACCGGCATTCTTCTCAAATTTTCGTTCCTCCATATATTTTTGGTTCTCATGGTCATTATTATCGATTCCGTTGCTCGCTAACGTGTGCACCGCTTCGTCTCTCGTGTCCGTTCACACGTTACTTCATGTTCACGCACAGAGAATCATATCGTCGTCATCGACATCATCGGATCGTGTGACATTATTCGAGCACCGTGTATCTCGATTCTTTTCCGCATCTCTCCTTATCGCGCCAGCTTTTCTTTTCATTGTTTCTGGCCGATCCCTTTTTTCTGTTTCTGTGAACCAAGGGAAAGTTAGCGTTAGTATTTCCTGCGCACCGTGGATCCTCGCATCTTCACGAGATTCGATCGAGACATTTTTTCGGTTGGATCTTCGAGATCGTTTTAGCCGAGGATTTTGAAACGTGGACTTGGAAAAATTCCCGAACTTCCAAATTTTGCAAATCCCTAAGTTCGCAATTCCTTAAATTCGCAATTCCCCGATTTCACAGTTCCTTAAACTGGCAATTCCCTAATCTCGCAATTCCTTAAATTTGCAATTCCCTAAATTCTCAGTTCCCCTGAAGTTTGCAGTTGCGCAAAAATCGTAATTCCCGAAATTGCGCAATTCCCCCGAATCGAAATTCCCACAATTCCACGTTCCCAAAATTTGCCGTCTTCGAAGATAAAATTTCTGCAATTCCCCAAAATTTACAATGCCCCGGGCGACAATTCCATCAAATTTGCAATTTCCTACATTTCTAATTTCCCTTAATTCTCAGTTCCCCTACAAATTTGTAATTCCCAAAATTCGCCGTCTTCGAATATAAAATTTCTGCAATTCCCCAGGCGACAATTCCATCAAATTTGCAATTTCCTACATTTCTAATTCCCCTTAATTCTCGGTTCCCCTACAAATTTGTAATTGCGCAAAAATCGCAATTCCCTGCAAATTGCGAACCCGAAATTCGCAATTCCAAGTTCCACAAATTACGGATCACCTTCGAAAACAATATTTTCGCGAAATCGCTGTGAATGCGAGGATCCACGGGACCCATGTGATAAATCCAGCGAAAAGAAACCCGCTAAAAACGGCCGATTATATTGGCTAACAGCTGATCAAGGCCCCCTACGTAAAGCTGTACAGCATCCTGAAGACGTCTAGTACATCGGCGGATTCCGAGCAGATCCAGGACCCGGAGGTACCGATTCCCAAATCCTCCGTTGACGAACGCTCTTTTTGTTCTTCTTTTTTTTTCTTTTCTCTCTTACTACAGGCACCCAAATTGCTCGATGTTGATATACATGTATATACATATACTATAACAATTTCTGACGAATGTTCCTTGAGATTCTAAGGTGTTCCTAGTGAATTCTGTGCACTGATAAGGAGTTTCGTAGGGAATAGAAAAATCTCCAGGCAATTACAATGATTTTTAGATATTCTCCCAAGGAATTCCAATACTTTCTGGAAAACTTCTCGGAGGTTCCTAAAACATTTTCATGGAAAAGAGTTGAATTTTCTAGAAAATGTCCTGAAAATCGCTAAAATTGCCTGGGAAGCTTCTTGTCGGTTCACAGAGCTCTCTATAAATATCGTAGAATTTCAAGGGGAACTCGTCAGAGATCCTTAGTATTTCTGGGTATTATACTGGATATATGCACCACCTAGATTACACTCTGTCACACCCTCTCTGTATACTTGTTTCGAGTGATCAGCGGCACCGTTGTCACGCAATGTTGAGGCCTAGCCCACGTTCGTCGTTTCACCTGCGCTTTTATCGCTTCGTTGATCAATCGACAGGTAGACACTGTGTTTCGGAAACTCGTGTCACACGCACGGAGGAAACTGACGAATGAAAGGAGTGATCAGAGATGAAAACAGTTTCGTGGACAGTCGGGATCATTTGTACAGTGATTGTGCTAAAAGTTTCGTAGATTTTAGATGAAACAATAACCAGGAATACCGTTAACCTACGTTATATCTTTGTCTGTTTTTTAATTCGAACTTTTAGGCTAACATCGAAATCTGGAAAAGTCGTATCGCAACTGATACATCCTTTCTCGCCGTTAAATCATCGCAAGTAGGTACTTCGTTCAATGTTCCTTGCCTGCTTATTGAGAAATTGGTACGTAACAAGTTACGCGAACTCCGCGTATGCAAATGAAACCACTCATATCAACTCGTTTTCCCTTGATCCGCAAGAAACGATTGTAATTCGAAAACGAGGCCGTACAACGATCTACGTACTTTCTCATTTTTCTGTGAATTCATTTCCGTTGTTGCACACACACCCAATGTGAAATATTCCCAAAATTTTCAATTTCATATTTAATCGAACAATTTCTCCTCTCAATTTTTTTACGCGATTGATTCGATATTTGAACGAACGTCTGATCGTTCTTAAAAAGACAAGAAAATCGATTCTTTTATTTGCAGTTTCCTCCTTGTTCGACTTTCAGGTTTTCCAAACATCGATGAAAAATTGTACGTTTAGCGGTAATATTTGCAGACAGAAATAATCCAGTCTCTCCGTCGTTCTTGAACCCGTCCGTTCGGTTGAACACACTTAATCGCCGGTCGATCCGCGTTGAACATTCTCTTCTGTATTTAGAGCCCGTCCAATGGCCCCTTCTCTGGCCAAAATATCTTGACGAGACGCCGAGGATATTAAACGTGTATGCGTGTCTTCGCTGTATGGTCGAGCTTTTGGATTCCGCTGTCGTCTGGTCGTTGATCGTTCAGTTTACACTTTTAGACAGATTGCGCCGGCATGATACACGTCCACTGTTGCTCCACCGTTTCGCACATCAGACACGAGATGCACAAAACGATGGAAATTGTTGCGGCAGATCTTTCCTTTGCACGTTGCACCATTTTGCGGTATATTCAAAAGTCTCGAGATTCCATCGCACAGCATTTGGAAATTAGAAGACGAGTCGATTTCGATGAAACTTATGTGAGAGATAGTTCGCGGGAAAGTATTTGACGCGTATTTTTTTTTAGTGTCGATCGTTCATTTCGAAGGGGGTGAGAAGAGGGAACTTGAAATTTTCGGGGTTCGAAACGTATTTTTTGAGATACCTCGAGAATTCGAGAATGTTTTGGAACAGGGGATTTAATGGGATTGAAAATTTTGAAGGAAAGTCGTTAGTTTAAGTAAGGTATTGAAAATTTGTAAATGTGAAATTCTCAAATTTTTGGAATATTAAAAAATTGGAAGCTTCTGCTTTTGCGTTAGAGAAACACACCTGAGAACCTTTACTCTTAAAGTTCGAAGGGCTTTACTCTCGATTTAAAATATAAATCATTTGTTTGAATGGTGTATTAAAAAAAAGTATTAAATATAAAATTGCAAAATCAGAAATCACTACTTTTCTGTCACAAATAGACACCTGAGCTCCCTTACTCTCAAACCTCGAGGCGTTTTACTCTCGGTTTAAAAGAGAAATCAGTTGTTTGAATAGCATACTAAAAAAAAATGGTAAATATAGAATTTAAAAGAATTTTAAATATTAAAAAATTAGAAGCCACAGCTTTCGTAGTAAAGACGCAAATTTCCTCGTGCAAGAGAACCATAACGACACGTTCGGGACAGGGAATTTTCGTTGGTCGAAAGATTGATGAAATAGTTTGGGATGCTTTTCAAATGATTCTACCGTGACCGATTTATTTCCGGAAGGTCTGTGAGGACGGTTCAACGTGTATGCGTCACCTCTTCCGTTTATCGGTGGCATCGTTTGCCAAATAGAGATGTTCATCGCACTCGAACAACTCGCTGGGACAATAAGAGCAACTGCTGTGAATCAATGGCTATTTTTTGCTCTCTTCTTACCGTTCTTCAGACCGTGGAAAACGGATCGCGACTGCACACGCATCCGTTACCACGATCGTGCACGCTCCATGTGGCTAACCTTCCATTCATGAGGAACCTACTCATCGCTGTGAGCCTTTTTCATTCAGTACTTGTTGCTTACCATAAACAGGATTATAGCGACAGATTCGGTTTTTCGTTCGGTACTTGTCCGTTGGTTACCATAAACAGGATTATAGTTACAGATTGCAGTGGAGCTAGGTGTGAGTGTAATCGTTTACTGGAGTCAGGTTGGAAATTGTACTCTATTGGACACTTGTTGGACACTTGTTGATTATATTCACCGATTTAGACAAGGGTAAATGTGATTGTAATTATTTGTTGGAATTAAGCTAGAGATTCTAAGGACTTTTCTTCATTAGACACTTGTTGGTT